GGTAGGGGCGTGTTTGTTTTGGTGATTTCAAATGTCAACATTGGCTACCAGAAATCGCTTACCCCACCTTTAAAGATACACCCATAACCGTCTTAGTGTAATAAATAATATATATATATATATATATATATTTAAATACAAATATAAACTAAATGTTTCTTATCCTCATCAAGGCTGCAATTATTTGAATAAAAAAATTCAGTAAAAAAAGTAACACTGTGAAATATTATTGTAATTTTGCAAACAAAAAAAAGATAAAAAACTGTTTTGACATGCTTTAACTCTTTTAATGTATTTTAAAATGTATTCTTGTTATGGAAAACTGATTTTTTTGCAGCAATTACTCCAGTCTTCAGTGTCACATATTCCTTCATAAATCTTTCTGATATGTTGATCCTTTAGAAATCATTCTGATATGTATCAAAAAAATCTGTAGGAAAAATATTCATTAATGGTTGTCTACAAAACAAAATGTAGCAAACAATATTCTCCTGTCATGACAACAGGAGCCAACTCGCATGACCATGTGACAATGTAATGCGGTTCAAGCTAAACCAAAGACTCATCTTTTGGAAACTGCTGTGTACTGTACATGCAATTTTTGCACATCAGTGCAAAACAATGAGCTTAAATCTTCCAGTGTAGTAATACAACTCTTTTTCTCATTATTATATTCGCTTGAGTAGCAAGCGTTCACAGCTAGTGTTCTGCTGAAAGACGAAAGCGATTCACACAAACACCACACACATACACACTCTCTTTCACACACACACACACACGCATGTACGCTTGAAATCCTTTGAGTGAGTCGTCCTTTACGCCCTTGTTTTGCAGTAATGCCAGCGCTGGGCTAAATTTATCACAAAAACAGCAAATGTGGAACAAGGCCAGGTCAGATTTGGAGGAAGAATGCATTTTCTGTTCCTTTCACATCTTGCTGCCCTTCGTTCCTCAGCAAACTTCTGAGAAGTCCACTTTGACTTTTTGCGAGCGAATGAAATTCCGGTTAGCGAGGGAGAAGACGATCACGTACCTGCATTCAATTTCGTATAAATTCCGGTCGCTGGAGGGAATGTGCTTACAAGCGGCAGCCTTCAGAAATCTACTTCATTAGCATAAAACCGTGCTGACCTTGGAATGCAGAGCAGGCGATGCGTGTGTGCGTGTTGTACGCGTGATGCTTGTGCCAAGATGAACCCTGGCAACAGAAACGGGCCTAGAGCGGAACCCTGATGCTGTTAGCCTTGCATAAATAGAGGCTAGCACACAAGGGAGCAGCAATCCAGCTTGTATCTTCCTCTCTCTCATTTTCCGCTGTCATGGATCAATGTTAGGAGTCATCCGGTCTCTTTTGCTGGCGTCTGGCGGGCAGGTGGGGTCTGGGAGGGCATCAGTATTAGCCGTGTAGTTGGATCTCCGGAGTGTGCACAGAGTTTTAACTAGTGTCTGAAGCTTCAGAGAGTGAAGATAAGAGGCTTGTCAGCAGGAGATCTATGGAAGCCTGCAGCCAGCGGCCCAAATATGCAGTCGCTCAGGATGCCTGTGCTGCTCTCAGATAACTTATCGGCATAGCCAGAGTCCTGCACTTTAGTACTACCACACACACACACACACACACCAATAATTACAGTCAGTCAACCATCTGAGACTCTGGCCGAACTACTTTGTCATGGCATGCTAATGAACTCTCCTCTCGTCTGACCTCCTCTTGTATCATCTCCTCTCCTAATGTCTCATCTGTTCCCCTCCTTTCTCATTTCTCTTTTTGCCTCAATCCCTCTCATCTCATCACTTCCTGCTTCGTCAGTTCCTCTGCTCTCTTGTCCCATTTCATCCCGTCTCCTCACATCTCGTCTCTTATCTTTTCATATTTTTTCCTTTAATTTCTTCCCTTTTCCTCTCTTCACATCGACTCTCCTCTTATTTAATCTACAACCTTCTTGAGTTGTCTCATCTCCTCTGGTCTCTTGTTGTCTCTTCTTCTTTCCTGTTGCCTGGTCTTATCCCACCTCTTCTAGTCTCCTTTTTATCATTTCCCCTTGTCTCATCTCTTTACTCTTTACTCCTTCCTGCTCTACTCTTTTCATCTTGTCTCCTCCCTCTCCTACTCTCATCTTGTGTCCTCTCATCTATTCTTGTCCCCCCTTCTATCTCCTCTTTTCCTCTGCCCACTTCTCCCCCTTTCTCATCTCCTGTCCAACCACCTCATGTGTTCCACTTGCACATTTTCTCTTCTTGCCTCCATCTCTCTCTCACCCCATCTCTTCCTGTTTTATCTGTCTCTCTCCTATCTTGTCTCCTCCCATCTGGTCTACTATCCTTTCATAGTTCTCTTGTCCTCCACCTCTCTTCACATCTCCTCTCATTTAATCTCCAAAAATAAGAAGGTAGGGAACAGATGCGACAGTTGGAGTGGAGAGGAGACCCCACAGAAACAGAGAGGAGAGGGGAGAAGAGGGCAGAAGAAAAGAGGAGATAGCAGTGAAGAGATGAGAAGAGATGAAAATAAAAGTGGTGTACTGAGAGAAATCATTCTCTCCTCTCCACTCCAATTGTCTCATCTGTTCCCTCCCTTCTTATTTTTTTCCATTTCATGTTATCCTCCTCCCTTATCAACTCTCCTTTTGTTCCCTTTCAAGTCTCCTCCCATCTTGTCATATCTTTTCATATCCTCTCCTTGCATCGCTTCTCTTTTCCTTCATCTCCAACCTTCTGTCTTGTCTCAACTCACCCTGTCCTCTTGCAATGTCTTCTGTCATCTCTTGTCCAATCTCCTCTCCATTCATCCCATTTCCTCTTATTGTGTTTTTCTCTCCGCTTTCTCCTCTCATTTAATCTCTTCTCATCTCCTTGTGTTCTCTCTTCTCATCTCTTCCCCCCTCCTATCTTCTCCTTTTTCTTTTCATCCTACACTTTCTTTACCTCCCACCTCACTTCTCCACTTTGTCATCTGTACAGTCGTGTTTGTGAGTGACTTTCCTTGTGGCTTTTCTTTACCTGTGGCTCGGTGTGCAGTTGGACATGAACCCCGCGATGGCCGGACAAAGACCTCCTCACCACACCCCTGTGCTGGAAATGATAATAATCCCCGAAAACCTGTGGACACACAGATGCACACACACAGCGGTGATATATTAGAGTGCTATTGCAAAGGAGTCATGTCTTACCCGTACAAGGTCATATGGTCTTACACTCCAGAGGGAAACACACTCATTAACTCCAGCACCTGCTCACAGACCTGGCCATCTCTCTCTCCAACACACACACATTCAGAGCAGAGATGCAAAGGTTCAGCCGCATACATTTATCTCTTA